AGCATGAAACGTTCCCTTCCCATTCCCCTTTATTTTATTTTGGCAATGGTCCTCAGGTAGGTCCTCCATGCCCAGAAGCATGCTGACTCAGTTCAGCTGGGTGTTCCAAGTAGACCATTAGTTAATCCACACGTGTTGATCTTTAAGAACATGTCCGTTTTGCTGTACCATCTGCTATTGCTGTCTGACCTATTGAGGCCTCTATTCTCTCTGGACATTGTGTTCAGTCAGCTAAATTTCTTCCACATGACCACACCAGTCCAAAAGGTGTGGAGAATCTCCAAGTCCTCCCCGTCCTGTCTGACCACACTCTTAAGTTATCCACCAACCGAGTGCAGACTGGTACAACCACTGTGGAAATCAATATGGAGATACCTTACACAACTAGGATTAAAAGTCCCACTTGACCAAGCTATTCCCGTGCTGGTTATACCAAAAGAATTAAAAGAATCTTATATGCTCACCCATATTTATAGTGGCACATTCTGTAATAGCTAAAACTTGGAAACAGCCCAATTGCCCATAAACTGGAGACTGGATAAAGAAGATGTGGGTTTTTTTTTATAAAGTGGAATACTACTCAGCGATAAAGAACAAGAAACTAGAGACATTTGTAGCTAAGTGGATGCACATTGAGGACATACTCTTAAGTGAAATAAATAGGACACACATGTGTAAATACCATATAGTTTCTCTGGTGTGATAAACTAAAAGTGTAAATAAGGGTCAAAATGTATAATTTTGACCAGGGCCAGGGATTTAACTCAGTGGTTTGGTGGCCTGCCTTGCAAGCGCAAGGACCCAAGTTCAATCCCCTGGTACCAAAAAAAAAAAGTATAATTGATATTATGTAATAGGAAGAAGAGGTCTAAAGTTATTGGGAAAATGGGAGGGGCAGGGGAAAGGTAAAAAGGGAAGAGAAAAAAATAAAAGAAAAGGAAAAAATGGAAATAAAGTCTTTGTAAATAGAGAAGGATGGAGGGGGAAAGGAAGGCTAGTGGTATGGGGAAAAAATAAGAACCAAGATATGTCATGTAAAGGTACAAGATCCCAATGATGAATGTAACTGTACTGTATCCCTAAAATTACCAACAAAAATATTTTTTAAAAAAGTTATCCACCAACTTCCAGTCCTACTGATTCCAAGTTTGTAGTTTTCCAAAGAAAAATTTAAAACCTATTAGCTAGACCTAATCAAAGAAGTCAAGCACCTGCCACAAAAACATATAGTCAATAATTATTTTTAAAACTCCCATTCCCAAAATCAAAGAACGATCTTACTGTGATCGTGCCTAGCTTTAAGTTCACTGAATCCATTAGACAATCTTTGCACCTTTCCAGGCAACCCACTCTATTGTTAGATATTTAATCCCTAACAACAAAGAACATCTGAAATTTCACATTCATTCATTCAATAAACAAAAGTGGAGCATGTAATATAAGAAGATCACTGTATTATGCTCTGGAAAAAGACACTCAGAAATTATTTTGAGGGTCAGTGGTTCCACCGGCTGCTTTGCAAGCGCAAGGGCCTGAGTTCGATCCTGGGTACCAAAAAAATAAAAAATAAAGAATTTTAAGCACCTTTTGGAGAGTCAAAAATAACCTTAGTTATATTTAACATTTTTTTGTATGTCTCTGAGAGTGTTTCAAAGCTCCATGTGTTCTTGCTTTATAGATTGTTATAGGAAGTATGTGTTCCCAGTGCTCGACTACTAGGAGAGCTCCTGATGTAGAAAAAGCAATAAAGGTGCATGAGGAAACACTTGGAGAGAGTTGTTGAAGAGTAAGACCTGGTAATGGAGGGACAGGGGACACCCAAAACCAGAGAATACTAGGCAAATGTCTTGTCACTGAGCTACATCCCCATCCCAAGGCCAGAAAATTTTGTCAACTGAGAGGAAAAGCTGAGATCTGAAAATGGGAGATTGGAAGAGATTTTTTTTTTTTCATTTCATTCATTTTATTGAGGGCTGGGGATTTAGCTCAGTGGTTCCACCACCTGCCTCGCAAGTGCAAGGACCCAAGTTCAATCCCCAGTACCAAAAACAATAAAATTAATAATAATTTTATTGAAAGTGCATCTCTAGTACAAAGTTGGTTAAGTTTCCTCTGCCAACTCAAAATTAATACTGATGTTTTAAAATATTAAAATATATCAGCCTTATGGTAAAACTGAAGTTGCTTGTTTATCTGTATCACGACGTCAAAATTGGTTGCATGCATTCTAGATAGACTCAGGCTTCAGGCTGCACTGCTGTTTACAACACTAACGATGTGTATACATCTCTTTACATTCATTGGCTCACATTGAGAATTCCAAACACTACCTCAGCCATCTCATAATTATGGCGGTGCCTCCTCACTTTTCTTAAGAAATTATGGAAATCTGTGAAAGTATATTCCCTTCCTTTAAGAAAAAACTGGAAGCAATGGCAGTTTTATAGAAACAGTCCACAGTAAAACTTGGAGTGCTTTATCTAATGAGAACTGAGGGTACAGCAAGTTCTCAGAGTGACGATTGCTTTTGAGTTACTATGTACTAAATAGAACATTTTTAAAGGAACTAGATAGACCGAGGAAGCAGATTCTGAATAGAAACTTTTAACACTGATACACACATCACCTGTTTTTAGAAGATAGCTCAGTGACTATGCCAAACTTACTAGGTCTGTATTTTGGCTTAATACAAAAATGTTTCTACATTTAAATGTAATTCCCATATAGCAATAACATTCTTATCTCCGAACTATCTATTACTTGCATTATGGGGGCCAAGAAATCTTTACATTATCTAGAATATAACCCTTATTAGGCTTTAAAAAACGCATGTGTTAAATGTTGGTTTTGATGTAAGGAGAGATCTTTTGAATCAGAGTGGAGTAGGGGTCTATCTCTTTCATTGCCCCAGGGTCCCAGTAATGACAGATGTTTCAGCAGTACAGCCCAGGTGCTTCACAGAAAATGACGTAGTACTATTGTTCTGTTGTACTTGTTCTCCCAATGCTATTTTTCATTCCAGATTAGGTTTTTTCATATCACAGGTGAAAGTAGTAGCTTCTAAGATGTAGATGAAAAATTATCCAACTTTCAATTTCTGCAGCTTCTTAGAAAAAGAACTAAAACGATGATAATCCAGACTCTAATTCTAGATTTTGTGTGATCTTATAGGAGTTATTTAACCTCTCTGAGCCAGAACTTTTCCACACTAGCCCTGCCATATGGTAAGATATATTTTAACTCTGATTATTTAAATTTTGAGATGAGTGCTATGGTTTAGATCGAAAATGCCTCTCCATTAAGTCATGTATGTGGAAGGTGATTGTTTTATGGAGTTGCTGTACTCATCTGTGGATAAATTAACAGCTAGCTGAATGAGCGGGGTGGGTGGTGGTGCTGGTTGGAGGTGATCCCTGGAGTTGTTACCTAGAAGGGTGTATTCTTGTTCCTGGCTTCTCCTCCATGTCTCTGCTTCCTGGATGCTCTAGGCTGAACACTTTTTCATTGCCGTGCCCCTCAGCCCTCCTATTTCTGCCTTGGAGACAGCTACCATAGAGTGAAACTGTGAGCTAAAGTAAGTCTCTCCTTTAAGTGGTGGGTGTGTTAGGTATTATGCAAAAAGAAAAAAAAAAAAAAAAAAAAAAAAAAAACAGGATCTCACTAAATTGTCCAGGCTTAGATCAGACTTGGGATCCTCCTGCCTCAGCCACCCAGGTATGATTACAGTTGTGCAACTGTCAAGCCAAACTTGGGTTGTATCTTTACAGAGTTTTTTACGGTGGGGGGTTGAGAGAGTACTAAAGATTGAATTCCAGCCTTCTCATATGTACTCTACCACTGAGCTACACCCCCAGCCTTTTTAAGGCTATTAACTATATATATATATAAAATAGGAATACAGTACACATATTATTCTGAAATTAATATTTTTTATTAATCATTGGACTTACTGCCACTTACAGATCTGTCTTATTCTAATGGCTGCATAATAATCCATATGTGTAAGTGCCATATTTATCATGCTAATGTTAACAAATGGTAGATTTCCAGTTTTCATTAGAAGAAATGTTATAATGAGCACAGTTATAGATATATCTTTGAGTACACAAGCAAAGTATTTCTAATTTAAAATGTGCCTTCATCAAAACTATACCCCGATATATTTTGATCTTTTCTAAATTTATATATTCTGTTCCATTGATTTCTTGGTCTATTCCACATGGTACTCCTTTGCATATTAGCATGTTTTAACTAATATAATATATATTGCTGCTGGTAAGACAAGTCTCCAAACGTTCTCTTCCTAAACCTTTTGACAATTCTCAGTAATGGTGCCTTAGAGCTGATATGTGCCCTGTGGTTTCATTTACTCTTGGAACTTTGCCAAATTCATTTTTTTAATACAGTGCTGCTTTTGATGAAAAATATCATTAATGCATATCCTATCCCCCTCAAAAAGAAGAAAAAACATGCTTCTATTTGAAGTTACTTGGAGTAGCAATAGCAAGCTCAGCCACGACATCTTCATACCAGTCTCCAAAACTCCAGCCCACCCCGTCTTTCTCTCTCTCTAAATAAAATGGTCAAGAGATGAATGTGCCCTAAATATTGTTCCTTGAAAAATTTGGCAACTTATTTTTTAAATATTCAGTTTTCATAAGTGATAATATAATACAATGACCATTTAATTTGCAGCTTTAACATTAGCACATATTTTTATATAATGATGACACATAATACATATAGTTAAGTAATTAGAAACAGAGTAGTCTGGTGATTTAAATTATGAGCTTTAGATCCAGACACTTGGTTCCAAATCCTAGATCATAGTAACTTACTTAACTTCTCTAGAGACTTGATTTTATTACCTATCTAAAGGTTAAATTGCTTATCTAAAGATTAAATTACTTTTTATAAGGGTTAGAAAATTTTGGTTATACAACATTTACACATTGAAATGCTTAGTAGGCACCCAATAGACCGATTGTTATCACAGTTACCGTGTTTTCCTGCATGTATCCTGCATGTGTATAGCAGTTTTCTCTTTTCAAAGTGCTTTTGTGCATCTTTTCTCTTTGTGGGCACCAGAACATTGAGAGGAGTGGCTGCCGGCAACACCGCTGTTGACAGACTCAAGGGTGAGCTCAAGAAAGCACAGTACACAGGAATCTCAAGGACTCGGATTCCTTCTGCATCCCCAGTCAAGACCTGAAAGACAGCACTTCTTTGAAAGCATTTGAAAGCTAGAAATTTATGAGGTTTTTATAAGATGATCCACTTAAAATAGATCATGTTTAATCCCATTTAGGATCTGGTTTAGATGAGCTTTTCTATATAACCATTGTGAATGAAAACTACTATCAAAATTCTCTCTTCTTTACATTTGTACAAAACCAGTGAGAAAATAAAGTCGCACTTACATTTCCCATCCTTTTATTTTATCTTCAACTTAGGCCAATAAATTACATGTTAAAAAGCCTCAATGTACCTAACTCACTTACCTGCTAAATTACCCAATTGGTTGTGCTATGTGACCTTTCTTGTAAGTGCCTTTTGGAAGAAGCTTTAATGACCAGGTGGTGGTTTCCATTCAAGAGGTAAACGATCATATTTTTTTTTCCAAAACTGTAAAAAAGACCATTTTTGAGTCAATTGCTAAGAATAAGTAGCCTGGACATTTTCTTTGTGTTCATAGTGCATTGATAAATGTGTGCTAGTATATGTGAAAGTTAGTATAGATTAACAAAAGCAATAAAAAAAGAAACCTTGCTTTACTCATAAATAGGTCATTCTGGGACCAAGTCAGAGAACATATCTTTGGAGGGAGAGAGTTGAGAAAAAAAACAAAACAGAACATTGCTATGGGCATTAATTATTGTCTGCTTAAATGTAGAGTATTATTCCTGACCCCCGATATTCATCCTTTCCTCTGAGACAAATGCTTTTACAAAAAATGACATCGGTTGTAAAAGGAAGAATGAATAATATATACTTTTGAAGTTTGCAATGTAGCATCTGAAATGCATTTGAACCCATGGATTACTTTCCTTGTGAATGTCAAGGTGCTAGAAATATAATTTTAAGCCATTCCTTAGGTGAGCAAAGCAAAAATCATGGTAAAACTTTAAAAACAGTTTTTTAAAAATTAATTAAAATGCTACTTTGTTCCTATGTGACCATATATTTTTACATTTTTGCACTTACAAATAATGAAGCCTCAGATGGGCTGTAATAATTGGTACTGGCTTTTAATATTGGGAAAAGCACAAACACAGAATGTACTTGAAGCTTGGCTTTAAGTAGATTATGAACATTTAATATAGAATGTTATCATAATATTCAGAGCACCAAATTGCAGACTTCTGTCACCCACTTTCAAGCATGCTTCTGAAGATCATAGTTAATTCTGCTGATTTATGGTAATGCTGCAGCATTATCGTTCACAGCATCAGAAACCACTAACAAGCTTAGTATAAGCTTGGGCTGAAATGGTTTGAGGTTTAAATTTCTGTAACGATTATAAAGTAGAAGGAATAAAAATCCCACTTCAGCAAAAAAAAAAAAAAAAGGTACTGCATTTCCACTCAATATCACAACCATCCCCCACTTCCCAGCAGCCTTCCCCCGCTGCATCAAGAAAAGTAACTTTTAATGGACTTGCATTTAAAATTTTCCACATAGTCTTTTCTGAACGGTGATATTCCTAATTCTAATATATAATGCCCACATTCTTTCCTTGGTGAAGAAGATTGCTTTAAGAGTCCCCCACACACACACACACTTTTTCCATCTAAAATGATTGCTCTTTTTAAAACAAATTCCATTCTAGAAGTCCCTTTTTTGAACATTAATTTACATTACATCCAATCTTCTGGAAAACGGTTAGAAATAAGAACCTTTTAATGATCATTATTCTCTTCTGGCCACATGACTGTGTCATACTAATGTTTGGCCCTTAAGCAGATGAGGCCCTCTTATTGTCTTCTGTTGAAGGTAAAAGAAGCTCCTGGCTTGAACCAGAGTGGTAAAGAAAAGGAAGGGGTTGTCTACTAAGACAGCTTCCCAAAAGATGAGTACATCTTTGTCAGTGAACACAATGAACAAACACTAATGGTGGCAAGAGGTCTGTGGCATCTTCAAGATGGAAAATACAGTAGCATCATCAGTATCTCCCATGTTGCAAGACAAAGGAGCAGCTCCTTTGGCCACAGCTGATTTCTAAGAAACTGAGCCACAGGAGACCTGTGTCACACACTCTGATTATATTCTCCTGCTTGGAATAAGGTAGACACACATTCAACAGGAGTGTTTTCTATAGCAAAATAAATTCATGACATCATTCAGATCTTGCGTCTTTCAATGAAAAGGTCAACTTTTTCAACTGTTTCTTGGTAAAACAATTAGAACACAAAGGCTGGATTTCACCAAGGTGCTCTGGGATGGAGCTGTTCGGGCACAGGTCCACCGTGAATAGTGCCTGAAAGATTCAGTGACAGTCTGGCAGAAGTCTCCTCCCTTAACTATAATTTTTAAATCGTCTTCAGAATAGCCCAGCACTTATGGTACCCCGAGAGCACATGAATTAAAAAAGAAAAACAGGCTAGGGATTTAGCTCAGTGGTTCTACCGCCTGCCTTGCAAGCGCAAGGTCTTGAGTTCAATCCCCGGTACCAAAAAAAAAAAAAAAAAAAAAAAAAAAAAAAAAAAAAGAAGAAGAAGAAGAAGAAGAAGATGTGTTGATTTACATTGTCCATTTCTGCATCAAAACCAGGGAAAAGAGAGTATCTCATCATACCCATTTTCATTTGAGCCAGAAATCGGACTAAAATTTAATATCCTTTAAGGCAAAGCCTTGTTTGGAGAAACAAGGGAGATTTCTTCAATTTTCTCTCCTCTGAGAGAATGTTTTTTTTTTTATTTGAGTGGCACCTGTGAGTCCATGAAGCCTTGAACGCTGGCTATGAGGAATTGGTGTGCATGGGGTGGCTGGGGAGAGTGAGAGCAAGAGAGTAGAAAGTTCTGGGCATGAGTAAGTTGAAAGGAGCTGGACGGGTCTGCAGAGATTTGGCATCAGGACAGCCAGGGCTCCCAGGGAAGAGTCCTCCTCCTTCCCAGTGGGCTTAACAGGACAGGACAGCGGATCAGTAGTAAATCTTCAGCATAAAGAAAATGACTGGTGAAAACAAACAAACCGAAAGACACACCCACGAAGGACAGTGACTCCCAGTTTCATGCCTTTTCGAGCCCAGTGCTAACTGAGGGAAGCACAGGTCTCAGGCAGACTCAGGACAGCTCCTCTCCCGAAGTTCAAACACCGCTCCTCACGGAGTCTTTCTTTTCAAGATGTCACTCTCCCGCCTCCACACTCACTACCAAACAAACATAGAAATCTACTACTGTTCTCCCCATGCACTCCATTTTCTTCCAATCTGAGAGCCATTTGTGTGTATAATTGAAAATTAGCAGTGCAGCTGTTTGAAGAGAGTAATTTATCACAGCGCATTGTTCGCGCCTGACACTTTAGACCTGGCTCTAACAAGCCAGTGGTTGCTGGGGGTTGAGCTACAGAAAGTGATTCGGCTGTAATGCTGCGTTTCCCCTGCTTTGTTGCTAATTGTAGCCTCTTTTTCTCCATTGAATTGGGAGTTGAGTAAAAGAGCTTGTTTGCTCTGTGCGGTGAGGCTGCCAGGGCCGCTTGGGCTATTATCACAAGATACTCTTGATCTTTTGAAAAGCAGGAAATAGAATTTTTCTCCAACAGGGAAAGTAATTTGCGATGCGTCCATTAGTTCTTCATTAAAGCAAGATTAAATTGCACGGCAAATCACATCTGTGTTTGGATGATTAAAGGGTGGCATTTTAGAGGCCAAAACTAATTACTAGTCAAAATGAATGGGAGTGAAAAAACAGTCATGTTTTTACATTAGATAGTGTGGCTTGTAATTAGATTCAAGCTAATTCCACTATTTCTTCTCTTTTAATGAGATGAGCCTGTCCTCATCTTTTTCTAGGCCATGCTAACAGCCCCAAATGTATAATTTTGATAATACTAAGAGTTTACTTTATTGAAATTTCTTTGCTACCTGCCACAAGTGACTGTTAGCTCCAGTGGGGCCTCGCCGCACAGAAACACAAGCTACTCTGTAGTACAGTTCACAATAAACGTCGTCCCTAGAGGAAAAGGAGTAATTTAAAATGAATATGTGTATGTGTGTATATGTAAAAATGTGTATTTTCAAATACTGAAATGAGTTACATCCAGAAATTTGCACAACTACAAACTGTCAGTTGGGCAACTACAGATATCTTTAGCAACAAGGATTAGGGGGTGCGGTTGTGTCCAATAAAGTATTGAAGGGTGCTGGCTTTTTTCCTGCCTTGTTATATAATTTTCTTATATCTCCTGAATGCTTTCGTCTGTCCTTAAGGCATACTATGACAGATTCCCTTCTTGGGTGTGGTTTTTATTTTTACTCAAAAGCAAACCTTAGAAGCTATAATAATTGTGCTAAGGAAAAGAACACACTAAAATTTAAAGTCCTTAAACAACTCTGGATGTTTCTCAAAAGTAAATTAAATTTGCTCTCAGACATCTATCTCACTGTTTGATGGTATAAAAATGATAATTTCTGTTTTAAAAAAAACGATTTCTATTTAGACAAATCAATTGGTCATGAAGGAAAAAAGAAAAGTAAATGGGCATTTACTCTTGAACTAAATGCTCTTGGATGAATTGTCCTGTCCAAAACTTTAGGAGGACTGAATCCGTTTGGCAGTGTTCAAATACATCCGCTTTAGTTTCTTTGGTCAAGTAGGATGACAGTTCTGCCTTCCTGGCACTTAACCCAGACTGTGTCATCAGAATTTCCAAATCTCTCATAATCGAGGCATTATTTTAACAAAATTCTTTGCAGCAAAGACTCTATTGCGTGATCAGATCAAAGCTGCACTTCCCTTCCAGTGCATTCTCAGAGCCTGGCACCTTTTATGTCAAGAGAATAAAAGAAAAATGACCAAAAGGGGAGATGAACAAATGAATGAATCAACTGGAGAAAAACAGCCTAGCAAATCAAAATCAAATTTTCCTTGGTATTTTTTCAGTGAAAAACATGAAGCGTGGACTGTTATATAGTTATATTGTCAGATGTACAGTAATCTAGGAAGACAAACACAACAAACAGCATTTTAACATATGGACATGTGGGACAGGGGGTTTAGCTCAGTGGTGCCGCTGCCTGCCTCGCAAATGCAAGGACCCGAGTTCGATCCCTGGGACAGAAAAACAAAGAAAAAAAAAGAAAGAAAGAAACAGACATGTGGCTTACATTTCATGCCAAAATAGAGATAAAAACAGGAAAATGCCTGTGACTGTAGCACATACGTGGAACTTTTTCTCAGTACTGGAAATTAAACCCAGGGTCTTCACATCAAGCTACACTCCCAGCTCTTTTTGATTTTTGTATCTTTGAGACAGAGTCTCACTAAGATGCCCATCCTGGGCTCAAATTCATGAACTTGCAGCTTCACCCTGCTAGAGTGCTAAGGTTACAGTTATGTGCCACCACGGCGGGCTCAGACTTTATATTTATATGGACTTTGTATTTACTTGTCCTTGTATTGCTTGTCCCGTTTTACCTGAATTTTCATTAGGTTAATTGCATTCTTTATGCATGCTACAATGTTGTATAACCATCACTTCATACAAGATGTTTCCTAAGACAATTCTTATTCTAGTTGTCTCACATCTCTTTTCTCACTCCAGGTTCCTATTTCTAATCTTCTGCATCTTGTCACAAAAATGCCACAATGGCACAGACATTCAAAAGACTTAAATGGTACAAAGCAGGAGGCAGCAACAAACAGAGGCAGGCACAATGGGTGCATTGTATCCTGGCTGTTCGTGTGTGGTGCTCTGACTACAGTGCAGCTGAATAGTTAGAGATTATTCCATTTGATGCCAATTCAAGAAAAGGACTAAAACAAAGTTCATGATCCCTAGGGAGAGCTTCCTTCCTGAGGGCTTAGGGGAGCACCCTAAGAGATGGGAGACAGGTTTCTTATTTCTCAGGAATTTGATCTGAAATTCTTGTTGTTAGTTTTTAAGAAGAATGTAGCAGCTACTACACTTAAAATCTCTCCCTTATGGATGAAACTCTTGAAAACTGGACAGTGACAATATCTAGTGGCGATCTACAAATATTTGTTGAGGCCCACTTGCATGACAGACACTGTTCTAAGTACTGGGGTATAGTAGTGAGTAAAACAAAGTTTTACAACATGATGTCATTTAAAAGAAAATGGGTGGAACCAGTGATCATCACTTTACATGAAGTAAGCCAGACTCAGAAAGGCAAGTATTGCATTTTTTTTTCCTAATACAGGAGGTGGGTTCTTTAAAAAAAAAGATGACATGAAGTAGAAGGGAAAGCCAGAGAGAGAGGCGCACGCCTGTGATCCCAGCACTTGTGAGGCTGTGGCAGGAGGATCCTGTGAGTTTGAGGCCAGCTCGGGCTACATAGTGAGTTTGAGGCCAGCCTGGCCTGTATATCAATATCCTGTCTTAAAAAAAAATACTAAAAGAAAAAAAAAGCAAAAGGGAGATTATTATTAGACAAGAGGAAGGGAATAAGGGGGGAGAGGTGGAGAGTCTGGGGAAAGGTAATAGGGGAGTGGATTCTATCAAACTAAATGCATGAATGAAAATACCACATCGAAATGCAACATTTTATTGATAAAAATATTTTAAAAAATGAAAAAAAGTTCTACTGTCACAGAGCCTATAAAGCATAGATACAAATATCAACAATAATTTAAGAACTGTTCTAAATAATGACGAAGAAGCCTTTAAAACACAAAGCACAATACAGTGGAGGGGCATTATGTTCACTGGGCATGAGACACCCATCGCATCTGCTTTATAAACTCGAGTTCAGATGTAAAGCACAGCTACGCCTTTGTCTTCATCGCTGCTGCTCACCTCAGCTCCCTTGAGGCACAGGGAGAGGGACTGAACAAACCCAAGGAAGGCAGAAGGTGCCACTGTCCTCCTGAGGAGGGCGCCTGGCTGAAGGGGAGAAGCGCTGGTTGTCACACTACTCCTGGCCGGCAACGTCTCTCCTGAGGGACTGAAGACTAGCCGGGAAAGACAGACCCTAGATCAACTTGGAAACATGCAGTAAGTCAGAACTTTGAAAGATGTGTATACACAGTAAAAGACCCACTCGGTTACCCCGAAGCCGAACAACTGGCTGAGTACCAGGATCCAGGTATTTATCCACTCCGTAGAACTGAAGTGCTCCCTGCCAGTCCTCCTTGGCAACTAAACATGGAAGATATGGGACGACTGCTGGGAAAACCCATCCTGAAGCTCTTCGTGCTGCATTTTCCCCAACTACCTGCTTCAGAGGGGAGAAATATTTGTTAGTGCCCAAGTACAAGTACCACTCAAGACCCTGAGGCCCTTTGGGATGTGATTATTTTCCAATTACTGGTGTAATCAGAACTGCGAGTACAAAAAACTGCTCTCTGCATCCTCAGAGAACAAGAGGGCATAAACCTTCAATTGCATCCTAAGTAACTTATTTTAGGAAAGAATTTAAATACAGTTATTACAATGCCTGGATATCAACTGCGGGGAGTAGAATGAATATGGTGACAGGGAACGTGTTCCTCAACTTGAACCTCGGATGGTGGGGCTAGACAAAATCAGCAGACGAGAACGAAAGACTTAAATCAAGCATTTCAATCGCTTAAAAATTTTTGCCCTTCCATCTATTAGTCTCTCAAAGAATAGAGAAAGTAAGAAAACGAAATGACAAAGATAATACCTAGCACATGAGAGTTTCCCTGCACTAACTATAATTTAGGCAAAACTTAGTCATCAGTGAAACTACTAGCAAATCTCAGAAGAAAGATTTTACTGCAGCTAAACTGTGGGAGGACAGGCTGAAAGGGAGAGGGAAAGAAAGAAGTTTAGGTGTGCGAAATTACTATTTCAAAAGAGCAGAAGCCAAACACACTCCTGTAGTTCTACTCAGAGACCCTAGCTTCAGTTACATTACCTTACACTTGTGTAATACAATACCCCTTTCACACACTCACGCACAAAGCACATACACACAATCACGTACATGTGTGCTTATGATACAGAATTATATACAGGGATATGTGCACTCACGTGTATACAGTCCTACATAAGCTGTGCACACTGGTTTGACAGTGGAGAGGAAAGCCAATATAGAACACTACACTTTGACACTTTGGCCTTGTACTAATAGCTTACGACTTCCCTTTGTTACTTTTTCTCTTTAGAGCAAAGAGGGAGGAGTTTGCCTCCAAAGCTAATGTGAAGTATTGGAGAGTACCCTGTGCTCCAAACAGGAACAGAATTGTGAAGCATCTGCTGTCATGTCTTTTTCTGATGCTCTGGAGAAAGCAGACTCCTCTCTTGTACAAGCTCCCGGAGAGAACTGTGCCCTCTGCAGCCCCAACCCAGAGTTAGAGGCTGGGGACAAAAATGGCAGCAGTGTGGGAAGGGGCCCAGTCACACTCACTGTGCAGAACTGAAAAGGGTGCTACAGAGATTCTCCATAGGCTGAGGAGGTGACCGCACGCTTCCAGATCTGCCCTGCCCTTTTCTTGAAAAGCAGCCTGACATCAGCAATATTCCTCCCCTGGAAATAGCTTTTAAAACACTTGCGTAACAACAGACGAGACCAGAATAAAAACAAGGGATATGACATAGGGTTGGTTCCAACCTTGTGTGAACTGGCAACAGATAGAGAATTCCAACATATGTTGTACCGGGGATCCAGCTTGGGACCTTGCACTTGCAAGGAAGGTGGAGGAACAACTGAGCTAAATCCCCGACCCGATTCTAATATATCTCTTACATATTTTACACAGAGTCAAAAGAGAGCCAGAAGAACATTACAGAGACCATAAATTCCACTAGTCCTTGGCACTTGGAAAAAATAAGTGGTTGTATCAGTGTTCTTGTCCATAATTGAGACACAATCTTTTCACTCCTTTGCTCTTTGATTCCTACAGCGTTTTCCTTAAGGAAAACTAAACTAGAAGTGAAGTTAACTTTTTCAGGTCACACAGCTCAGCTAAGTTTCAAACTGAAATATATCAAACACAAACCCCACATACATTCTCCCTAACACACAATTTCCCCACAAAGAAGTTACAGCTTTATGGAAATAAAATAATGATAATGATAAAATTAGATATGATTTTGATTATTTTTTACAACTAACTGAAGATACACATATTATGTGAAGTTTCGGCATGTTTTTAGAGGAGATACAGAACAAAACTCTAACATAACACTATACGTTAAATCTGAAAAGAAAAAAATGCAATGTTACCAATTGTGTAGCAGATAATATAACGAATTATTTTTTTAAATAACAAAATTTATATTCCTAGTATCAGAAGCATTCCTTTCCTGTTGATTTATTTCCTTCTAGCTTTTTAAAAATTTAAATGTCTTAGCCAGGCATGGTGGCACACACCTATAATCCCAGCACTCAGGAGGCTGAGGCAGGAGGATCGCTGTGAGTTTGAGACCAGTCTAGGCCACATAGTGAGTTCCAGGTCAGTCTCAACTACCTAGTGAAATGCTGTCTCAAAAAAATAAAATAAAATAAAATAAAATAAAATTTAAAAGTCTTATTTGTTCAAAACTAGGGTCATATTGCACTAATTGAATTTTTGTCTTTGCTTAAAAACTTTTTAAAGGTAACAACAGGTAAAATAATGAGGATAAACTAAGTAGCCTTCAACAAATGATGTTATCAAAGAAGAATCTTGGTAGTTATTAAAATAATAAAATATATCTGTATGATTTGAGCCAGAAAGTTCTCTGGGATGTGTTGCAAAATGAAAAAAATCCCACTACAACAAATAAAAGCTGGATGTGGCTATATGTTTGCATATACAGTGTATCTCCCTCCGCTCATATGTGTTGTGGAACAGTGATTATGTCTGGGATAGAAATAAAAGGGGAAAGGGGGCCCCTTGCATTATATACTCGTGTATATTATTTAAAATTTTATAAGCCTGTGTTATTCACTGAATGTAAGTTTCTCTCCAAAATTCATATGTTGGAACCTTATCCTACAATGTGGTTGTATTTGGAGTTACGAAGTACAGTAATTAAGTGAAGACATAAGGGTAAGCTCTGATTTGATAGAATTATTGTCCTTCCAAGAAGAGATGCCAAAAAGCCTATTTCTCCCTATCCTCTTGCCTGGACACCAAAGAAAGGCCATGTAAAGATACATAGACAAAGCTAGGGAAAAAACCTTCACCAGAAGCTGAGCCCAGTGAAAACCTGCTTCGCGGACTGTCCAACTTCCGGAAGTATGGAAAAATAAATAAATATCTGCTGTCTGAGCCCCCCAGGCTATGGTTCCCGTTATGGCATCCCAGAGCAGACTAAGACACATTGCGTTTCCTTTCAAATAAACAAATGAAAATAATTTTTAATAAACGACCTCTGTACATTGTAGAAATCTGTGGGGGGGGGGAGAAAACTCTTACTGTAAATTTCACTCCCCTCACAACAGCCATTGTTAATAAGTACAAAGAACCTTTTAATCTTTCTTCTATGCTCACATAATTTTTACCACCATGAGATCATATTCTCCAAATTGTTTTAAAATCTGATTTCTTGAAAATGCATTTTAACGACTTCCTACCTTTTTTCCCCCACGCTGGGGATCAAACCAAGGGCCTTGAGCATCTACCACTGAGCTACACCCCTTCCCTCTCATACTTGATATCTAACATTGTTTAATGGGTTCTGAGCAGTCTACAGGGGAACTACACTGCAGCTTGTTTTAAATAAGAAGAAGCTATGTCACTGGTCGCATGAAGTCTTTCTCCCACACTTCTGCAGCCCTTCCATACCCCAGCCTGGTCTCCCTCCTTTCCAGATACAAGGTTAGTGATTTAGCCTTCATGGTTTTTCCTAATCATATCAGCCAAGAAAATTTCAGGCAGTGCTATTAACAAGACAGGGCTCCTCCAAGTTGGTTAGAGCCTTCCATGGTGCTGTTGACATGTTAAGATGAAGCTGTTATTTACTTCTACAGATAAATATGTAGAACATTTCTAAAAGGAGAATGATCCAGGGCTAATAATTTAAACCTGACAGGGTCATCTGAGATTGTGGTGCTTCATATGCAGAAGGTGTACTAAACAATCAGATGAAAAGAAACAGGGAAGCTCACAGAGCACTTGACCAATAACACAGTGTAGAAAAGCTAGGAGTGCTTTCCTGAGCTAGTGAAAAGATATACTTCCAGTCATAATATAGCAATGCACTCAACCCTCATTACACAGTGCTGCTGACAAACACTGCTAGAGTTTATTCCAACTCTGTTTCCATTATAATAAAGCCCTACTTTTGAGGACTTATAATTCAGCCAAAATAATTTACTGCAGGAGTGTTTCAAAAGACCTTTCTTATAACCCTTTGAATAAACTCCAATATCAGAAATTCTAAACAATAAAGACCCTGCCACTTCTAAAGCAGTTCTTCTTGGATGAGTGTTAAATTTTTGGTCACGTGGGCTTTATTTCTATTATATGAAGTTCTTCTAAATCACATCTTACTTTGGTTAATAGGCAATAATAGGAAATGAAAGGCTTCAAAAACACATTTCTTTAGTACACATTTTATTAAGAGAATGAACAGAAAAAGCATTTGGATAGTAAAAAAAAAAACAAAAAGTTAATGAATGTTTACTAGGAAGTCACTTAGTCCAGCCCTGAATATTTAGATTTACAAAATATGAAGACTGTATTTTGCCTAAACTATACAATAAAAGTCAAGTGCTAGTGGGAGTTCATTTATTTTTCAAGATATTAAGGGAAATGGAAAACACTATAACAGAAAAATCAACAAATCCAAGACTTTCAAAATTTGTTCCTAGGAACATCAGATTTCAGCAATTAATTGGCCCACCCCAAAATGAAAGAAACTAAATAAAATAAACAATGAAGTAAAATCAGAGAATTACATACATTTAGAATATCCTACCTAAAAAGCCCTCCTGAAAGTTACAAAGCATCTTAGCAAATTTAAAATTCTGAGAAACACATTTAACTTGTTTAACACAGCATGGCTTCCATTTATTTTTACTTTATAAGCCTATGATTTATTCTCACTGCATAACTTTTACAGTCAACCACTGCTAGTCACAAAACAAAGACCAGGAAGCAGTAATTCAGTCCACAGAGTGAGAGACCACTGCACCAAATTCCTTGTTCAATAAATTCCAGGGCCCCGAGCCAGGCTTCCTGCCTCAGACTCTACCAAGTAGAGGTTCTCCCTGCCTACTGATACCCTCCCTGTCCCTAGGGCTACTGTGCACACCAGGCTCAGCAGCCATTGAGCTATTCACCAGTAGGGTTCCCCAGGCAGGTAAACATGGAACATGCTACTCTCTGGGACTGAATGGTTACATATTTTAAAGATCAAAAATTATGTATTAGAAATCATACTGTGGGGGACATATGTCAAATTAGTGTCATTAAAAAGACACCT